AAGCTGGGTGCCTCAGATCAAGCATTAGTGATGTAGGGAGTAGCCCCACTGTTCCTACCTGCCTCTGATGAAGCTGAAAGCAAAAGGATTGTGCCTTCTGCTGTCTGCTCTTTTGTTGCATACTGTCCATTGTGCTTTTAGCATACACTGATAGCATAAGGCTTAGTTGGGGGAGAAACAGTTCTTTCTGGTACTCTAATACATCCAATAAGCAAAACATTGGATTTCTGAGTGGAAGATCCAGATTCATTCAGTAACTGTATCAAGAACAACAGAAATCTGTTCCTAAAATGTCTACACCTATACTTGCTGTCATTATAAATTACTACTTAGTGTAATTCATTTGATTAACATTTTTTGAAGTAATAAAATGATCTTCACAAGAATACCTGCAGAAGTGCACTTTCTGAATTTAAAAAATCACTTTGAAGTTGAAGGAGTATCCTAAAAACTGGAATATTTAGTTTAATTGTATATAATATGATACAGCCATATTTTATTACTATGCATATCCTTTATTTCTAAGGCCATTAAGCATTGTGTTACATATTTCAGCCAGACCTATTTACAGTGAAGCTGAAAAATGATTGGACAATAGGTTTATCCAATCAACTATTATTACACTAAAACAAAAAGCAGTATCTCTTTCTTGTGTTCTGTGCTGGGACTGTACAGTCACTTCTATTATCCTGAGAAATTAAAGATAGCCCTGCTATATGACTGCCCTGAACAGCCAGACCGAAGGCACACCTGTAAAACCAACAGCTGTTTTACATACACGCTTGTACACAAAATACTCTCTAAATATAATAGCATATGACTACCACTGTTGTTTTTCAAGAACAGCAGTTAACACTTTAAATCAGTCTCATGTCAGTGCATTCCACAAGGAAATGGAAAAAGGAAAGTATCTATTCATGCCATTGGTTTGTTCATGCAGACTGTTCACACCTCGAATGTATACAATACCCAATATGGCTGCATCTCTAGGGTGTGTATTAATATAAAAGTTAAGTTTGGCTGCCATTCTGACCTGCTTTGAAAAAGCGAAGGCTATGAGGCTGTCACCCTATTCCAGGCATCAAGAACTAGTGAGTGACTTACCTGAAACAAGCAAAGGCCCAACAAGTTCCAGGCCCAGGGCTAACTACGTAGTGAAGCCAGAGTTTAAAAGACAGCAATGGTGGATCCCATACTTTACTTTAAGGATTTTGTTTGCCAAAGAAATGGGATTGTTCCTTCCATTTCACAATTGATAAAGTGCAAATTTGTTAGCATCTTTATCTACTGAGCTGTAAACTTGAAGTATAGCCAGCATAGACCTGGGAATCCTCTAACTTTCTACAGATGGTACAAGGATATATGATGACTGGAAAGTGTGCCCAACAGAAGACCAAAATATATGTGTGTGTTTTGCAAAATAAAATAATATCACAAATGCATAATGGTGTATTATTTACAAATGCATTCATTAGTATTACTGGACATCAGAAGGCTTTTAAATCTGGTTTTCTGTTTTAATGGTGTTGGACATGCTGAAGGGTACCATTAAACCTACCACATATTTTGGTAGGTTTAATGGTCAGTCCATCAGTGACTGGAAACAATATTATAAACCCACCATATAGTCAACAGCAATATAGGAGAGGCACATAAAACCATTCTGTGCAAAATATAAATGCAGTATAAAGAAAAAGTGCAAAACTGTATTGGCCATATTGGTCCATAGAAGACATCAGTTTGTGCAGTTGTTTACACCTTTTTTTTCAGCAATCATAAAAACAAATCTGTGTTATTTTCCTATACTCAGCAATATACACAAGCCCAAAGGGTACCTGAAGGCTGTATATTTCTGTCTGGAGTCAGAGGCATAGTGAGATCTGTTCATTTATTCTAAAGAACAAGTATGGTTATTTGCTCAATAGACTATTTCATAGCCCTATAGAAGATAATTTTCTCCACCTACCAATATCATAAACGCAGTCCTGGGTTATTTACTTGTTCACATTTAACCAAAATAATAAATACTATATTAATAGTTCTTGAGTAAAACTTCAAAGAACTTCCATCACTGTGCATGTCTATCAACCATATAGTGGAACACAGAAAATATAAGGACATCTAAGAGTCTATGCATTTAGTACAGGTGATCTACTTGATAATTTGTGGACAGTCGCTCCATGCTTTTGATTTCCTCTTGGCTAGTGCCAACCATGCTGGCTCAGAGGACACTGGAGAGGCATCAGGAGTGGAGAATCTCTTCGGGAGGTCTTTTGCAAGAGTTACTGGGACGGTCTCTGTAATCTCCACTGTTTTAGAGAATAATAAAATGAGTTAACGTTTATTAGATTTGTAAATAGATAAATAAGCAAGTGTCACCTACTTTATCTTACAATTTTAAGGACCGGGTGAACTTCCATGCCCCTGTTGTCCAAAGACCTGCCCTCCCCCTCCTGAGAAATCTTAGCAAAAGAGTTACATTGAACAGCCAATACATGGGTTCCCATGTTGCACTGTACCACCGGCTTCTCGAATAAGTCTATAATATAACATCAGACCTGTACAGTGCAGAAGCTTCAGAAGCAAAGAGCAACTAACATGGCAGTAGGTGGCACTATTGTAACCTGGGGATTGACTGATAAAATGTAAGTATTCTACTGCACAGGGCTGTTCAGGAGGTCAAGAGAGGACTTTTGGAGACATCTGCACAATGTACCAGAAGATAGATATTTAAAGCTTTCTCCAAATTTTCCCTGTATATCACATGGCAGCAAATAAGGTGAGATCACATAATCTTTGTACTTCTACGCTAGTGACTTACAGACTCAATAAATATAAGGCCCTTAGATAAACCTGAAAACCAGCTTTTCCAAAAAGTGGTCAGCAATGGCAACCTAAATATTTAAAAACACTTAATAAATGTTTATACAGGGTTTCTGGGAAAGAGACCCCCTGTTGATTTTGGATTCTACGTAACAAGGTTTCCTGTTGTCAGAAGTTCTCACAGGACAAAGGGGATGATTTACCAAAATTGGAAAGTGCAAAATCTAGTGCAGCTGTGCATGGTAGCCAATCAGCTTCTAACTTCAGCTTGTACAATTAAGCTTTGACTAAAAAAAAACTGGAAGCTGATTGGTTCCTGTGCAGAGCTGACCCAGATTTTGCACTCTCCAGTTTTAGTAAATCAACCCAAAAGATAGAAAATGTCAGCTTTCTCCTGCTGCTTCATCTACTGCTGTATTACCAGTGCTGTACTCAATTGGAATTGCTTGTTGGAACTATCGTACTTTCATGTGGTTGGACTTGTCTGCCATTCACTACAACCTACAGGGGTCCAAGTTTCCAGTGTTGTAAAGGAGGCAATAGAAGGTAGAGTTCATTCAATTTGCTACACCTAAGTTTTTAAAAACTCCACTAGAGTTTTACATATTAAGAACACTGAAAACTAATTGCTAATAAGTTTCTGTAACAAGGCAGTACTTGAGTTGTCACCCTTTTTTCTAAAATGCCTAACTCTCTCCAAGCCTTCTGTAAAAATCAAATCTACTTTCATTCTAGGTTGTAACAATACAAAACATAGAAATGCCTAACTCTGTATACATTGCATATTTTTCCTCAGCAGAAATAACTCTTCGGGTAATGCTGGAGTTGCCTCTCCATTCCTTATGTCTGTTTTCCCCCGAGTAGTACCTGTGACGGATGTTGGAAGAGTGTTGGATTTCTGCAGCTGTTCTCTGCGCTGTAGTCTGGTCACCACTGTGTCACCTTTCTTCTCTTCCTGTGGTAATGGTTTCTGGAGTGAGCCACTTCTGCCCCGATATTCTCCAGTGTGAGCAGTGGATGGCTGCCATTCAATGATGAATAAGAACAATGAATTAAAGGTATACATGTCATCAGCGTACTGGAAGAAGCTATTTTGTACCCGAACGTAATATTTGTGTGAAAGTTGACAGTGATGTCATTCAATTCACAAAAAATGGCTTACATTACTAAGACATATGATACTACAGTGGATTCCAGTTCATGACAATATTATGAGACTTGTGCTTTATTTTAGGAAGGTTGCTTCAGCCCTACTTCTCAAAATACAGGCTCCTCTTATACCTGTACATGTGTAGTTTGCTTTAGGAACTGATGTCAGATACATCTCACCTAAAGCCCAACACTAGATTCTGAGCCCACCATCCCTCCCTAAAACTCCCTGAACTTATTTTTAGAAAAACCCTTGATACATAATTTAAAGTGGAACTTTACTAATAACAACTTGATCAAAAATAATGTTCTGTAGGAAGGAACATACATTCCACATTAATAATTATGCTACCAAATGTCTATGATGAGTTGGGCTCACAGGAAGTGGGTTGAATGCCATCATTTAACCCAGAAGAGGAACATTACTAGTGGGGATCATGGGAGGTGAATATTGCAGCAAAAGCTGTTTTTGCATATTTAACTATGCTGGCCATCATTGTTTTTTAATAAAAAAAACCCTGGAATTAGGCTTTAAAGCAGAACTATTGTTGAACAATTTGATTGATTAAACTAATCCAAGAGATCTCAAATGCGGTATCTGAATTTTGTATGAGATCTTAGAAAAGCAGAGTTCACCTAGATTCCTAGTAACATTTGCCATGCATCGCACCTCCTTGCTTTTATTCCTCCAAGTCAGTGGGACTGCATCTCAAACAGATGTAAAGCTAACCTTGAACAGATCTCAAATGAAAGCCTTTTTTTCTGCCTTGCTGACTTGCTTCTGTGGATAACCCATACTCATTTCATCCATTTTTTGTGATTCACATAACCAAAGCACTATACAGCCAATGTGGGGGAGGGGGTGTAGGCAACATAGAAGGTTGAGGAAATGGTAGGAGAGTCTCATTATTGTGGTAATACTCATTCACAGCGATGCAGGTAACATAGGATGCTACAGAACTGCAAACTGTGTACAGAAACATCACCTTCCTGACATTGGTACTAACCATTACCTGGTATACAGAAAACTATTTTTGGCTGTAGTTTGGAATACTGTATATTTTCAACCCAATGCATTTATTTACATTTTCTTTTGCCAATCTGTCTGCTTGTTTGGCCTCTCTGGCTTGCCGCCTCTCTTCTCTGGACGCTTGCTGGTCCCGAAATCCTTTCTGTTTCTGTAGAGCGAGTGTAATCCATTGAGGTTGAGAAGGCTCAACCTTCTCCATCAACCTGGAGCCATCTAAAGAATGTCGACTCTGGAGAACAGGCCTGTCTGTTAGAGGAAATATGGAACATATTTAATTGGGTTATTGTCATTTTCTTGGCGTGAAGGGCATTTGAAGGAATTAACCTTGAAGGGCGGGCCTGCTAACCTGGCCGCTATTAAAATTGAAAAGCAACACCCCACCCCCCCCACTGTTGGAAGTTAAGCGACACTGACAAGGATTCAAAAAATTGGTATACTGATTCCTGGCTCTGGACAGGCACTGGGGTACAAACCTGGGGGTGGGGGCCGGATAACAATTAAATTTTCTAGGCGCATTTGGAGAGGGCGCTAACTCTATCGGAAGTCGCTCAGCGACACTTCTATGTTACAATAGACCTGTTTTAAAATTGAAAGTACTCTGTTGACATAAAGAGTTAGACAGAAACCAGGCATCTAATATCCTAAGCTCCTGAAACTGGGGTGGGCCATATACATATATTAAATTCCAGCTCCAAAAAGAGTTCCGCTATGCCTTTCCTGCAGCATGTGCCTCACAGAACAACCTCAGAGCTAGAAGCTGGAAGCAACATATTGGCCACCTCAGTTGCACAGGGTGCTCCGGGGTATATAGATATGCAGAGGAACTTTGACTTCTTTAGACATATGACGTGTTTACTTTTTATTTGAACTTCATTGTACCTTTTCAGTAAGGTATGCTATCTATTTCATTTAAAGAAGCACATTACCCTCAAGCCATTTTGTCTGGGGTAAAAGAAAACTAGAGAAACCTAGCAGTATATTCATCCACATACTGTATATCACTGATGCACAGTTCAATATTTTTCTTTTCCAGCACTTGCTGTTTAGCTTGTCTGGATTTGATCGTGCTACTACAGAGGCAAATGAAGGGTTTAGAACTGGGGGTGGGGGGGGGGGCAATGTTAGTCATAGGGGTTTTAAAGCCAAATTGTATTCTGCTTATTGTTACTGGTTAAAAAAAATCTGTGCATTTAGCGTGTGCAAACTGGGCTATTCTAGGAACGGGGCGCTAACCACTGTGTATTGGAAGTCGCAGCGACACTGAGTACAGTTGATCAGTGTGCAAGTTCCTTGTTGCTATCAGTGGGGCAGACATGCTACTCTCAGTTAACCACTTGCCCTCCAGAGAATTTACCCCCCTTTCTAGCCAGGCCATTTTTTGCGATACAGCACTGCGTTACTTTAACTGACAAATACGCAGTTATGCAACGCTGTACATAAATTAAATTTATGTCCTTTTTTCCCACAAATAGAGCTTTCTTTTGTTGGTATTTGATTGCCTGTGCGTTTTTATTTTTTTGCATTATATAAAAAAAAGACCCGACAATTTTGAGAAAAAAACTATATTTTTGAATTTTTGCTATCAAACATGTCCAGTAAAAAAAATAAAAAAAATGTCATCATAAATTTAGGCCAAAATGTATTCTGCTACATGTCTTTACTAAAACAAAATCCAAATACGTGTAAAATAATTGGTTCATGTGAAAGTTAAAGCGTCTACAAATGGCGGTATAGATACTGAAATTTCTTTTTTTATACTAGTAATGGCGGTGGTGATCAGCGACTTATAGCGGGACTGCGGCGGGCATTCTGACACTGGGGGGAACTGACTAACTGACACTGAGATCCCAGTATCACCAATACAGTGATCAGTGTTAATAAAAGCACTGAAACTGTACTAATAGCACTGGGCAGGAAGGTGTTAACATCTGGGTCGATCAAAGGGTTAACTGTGTGCTGTGTTGTGTTGTGTTTTCCAGTGTACTGTGTAAGCACATTGCTTTGTATTGCTCTACTATGCAGAGCAAAATAAAGCAATGTGCAGGAGCTGACAGAGGAGAGATCTGTATTGTTTACATACAGGTCTCTCCCCCATTGGTGATACAGGGCGATCGCCGGCTGCCGGCGGGGGAACACGGGCCAGGACCCGGTGATCAACAGGTGAGGCCGCCAATGGCGGCAGGTAGAGCACCAATGGCGGCTCTCGTGTGCCCCCTACCCGGAGATGCAAAATCACATATATATACATGATTTTGCCCTGTAGCAGTATAAACACATGGCCAAACTTAAAGTGGTTGTAAGCCTCAGACATGAAATATGAACAAAGCATATCTCTCTATAATGTGTACCTGTCTCAGTCTAGAGCACTAAGTGCAATTCCTGTCTGCTGCTTCATTCCTCTGCTATCAGCATGAATCACTTCTGACAAGTTTTCCTGATACCAAGAGAAAAATGGTGACAGGGACGGGAGCTCCAAAAAATTGACAGCCTTAGCTCTGTTCCTGTGAGCTGTGTGTCACTTTCCTCCAATCAGCTCTCAGAGCTCTCCTCACTGAGTGTAACTTCAGCTCCCCACCCCCTGCTTTTAAGAGCTGAGAGATCCTGTGTAAATTCTGCACTTTGAATGGGTGTAGGGGGCAGACAGTTGTAGATAGACAGGTACAACATATGTAGGATGATTTGTTTTATCTATGTGTATCATCTGAGGCCAGTCACTTCACTGGGTAAATGTACGGGTTTATGTCCACTTTAATCAATGTAAATGCTGAGCAATCTCCTTGGATGCGTTTAGCTTCTATTAACCTCAGGTAGTGTTTGTTGCACATCTGACCACTATACACATCTACTAGCTCTAAAATAATATTGAAATACAGCAGAAAAGTGCTAAATGTGATTTTTGTAGTCACTTTAAAATCCCTTCCACGGAGTCTATTGAGGGGCAAAGAATTCTGAAAACATCTGAGTAAGGGCTCGTTCACACTTGACTGTTTTACCAACGCTTGCCAAACCCCCCTATAGCGTTTGGCAAGCGTTGGTCCGGCATTTGCGGAGCATTTTTTAACGCTCCGCAAAAAGCGCCTGTTGCTAGGCGTTTGACGAGCGTTAACAAACGCTCCGCAAATGCCTATAATGAAGTTTAAATGGTGTTACCGTTCCGCAAACGCCCCGCAACCGCGTCGCAACCGCACCGCAAACGCTGGCCGGGCGTTTGCAGAGCGGCACCATAGACTAGAATAGGAGGCTTCAACGCCTCCTGACTCGACCAGAGGCGTCTATTTTGCCGCGGCGCTAATGCTCCCGTTAGAACAGCACCATGTGCTGCAATGTGCAGAATTGTCAGAGGCGTTTGGGAAGCGATAAAAACGCTTTCCAAACGCCTCTCTGCCGCCTGCACACAATGCTAGTGTGAACGTAGCCTTACACTGCTGCATAAGGTAGAATTGGACTCTAGAATGTAAAAAACTGTAGACTAGACATTAGACATATACAATTTATTTTGTTACAAATCAAAATTTGGACAACATTTTTGCTATTCAGAGATTTGGATGTGCCTGTATAGAAATCTTCGAATCAAAATAGTAATCGATTTCAATGAAACAAAAATAAATTATAACGAAACAACAAATTCAGTCATATTCATTAGTTTCAGATGACATAGTGCAATAGTTATGGCCTTTTGTTAATGTTTGAAGCATCCGAAATAAAGTAGCAACATAATGAATGGATTGGTTCTGATCTATTTTGTTTTTATTTTGCATTAACTTTTTTCATTATTATAAAAAATGCACTACATATGAAATGGAAACATATTGCAATAAACACAGTAAGGTATAAAAGTGAAATAAGATGATGATTCCTATTTATTGTGTTTAGGTTGAATAGAGGTATATCTATCAGAATCTCCAAATCATAACATAACATATCTGAACTATCCTTTCAGGCCCACATCCAATCCCTGTCCAAAAACAGCTCCAGAATACGCCCCTTTTTAACCAATGATACCACAAAGCTCCTAATTCACTCAATGCTTATCTTGCGCCTAGACTACTGCAACTCCCTCCTCACTGGCTTACCTTTGCATAGGCTATCCCCCCTCCAGTCCATCATGAATGCTGCTGCTAGGCTCATCCACCTTACCAACCATTCAGTGTTTGCTACCCCTCTCTGCCAATCTCTCCACTGGCTTCCATGGCAATGAATAAAATTCAAAATACTAACAACAACTTGCAAAGCCATCCACAACTCTGCCCCCAGCTACATCACCAACCTGGTCTCAAAATATCAAGCAAACTGCTCTCTTCGATCCTCCCAATACCTTCTGCTCTCTAGTTCCCGTGTCACCTCCTCCCATGCTCGCCTCCATGACTTCTCCTGAGCTTCCATCCTTTGGAACTCCCTACCCAAATCTGTCTGGCTGTCTCCTAATCTATCCACCTTTAGATGACCCCTGAAAACCTTTCTCTTTAAAGAAGTCTATCCTGCTTCTACCTAGTAAACCGCCATTTATTTCCTCCATCAGCTCATCCTCCCACAGCTATTACCTTTTGTATCACTCAACCCCTCCTCCTAGATTGTAAACTCTAACGAGCAGGGCCCTCTGTTTCCTCCTGTACCAAATTGTATTGTAACTGTAATGTCTACCTTCATTTTGTAAAGTGCTGCGCAAACTGTTGGCGCTATATAAATCCTGTATGATAATAAAATCCGAAATGAGTTTTGTTTCAATTTCTTTTGATATCGTCCAATCAGCTCATTCTATTTCTCTTTGTGGACTGGACTAGCAGTGAGTGCCTAAATTATCTCCTGAAATAACAAATTATTATGGGCAGCACAGTGGCAAAATGGTTAGCACTTCCGCCTGGCAGTACTAGGGTCATTGGTTCGGATCTCAGCCTCGGCACCACCTGCCTGGAGTTTGCATGTTCTCCCTGTGCCTGCGTAGGTTTCCTCCCACACTCCAAAGACATGCTGGTAGGTTAATTGGATCCTGTCTAAATTGGCCCTAGTATGTATATGTATGAATGTAAGTTAGGGACCTTAGATTGTACACCCCTTGAGGGTTAGGGACTGATGTGAATGTAAAGTGCTGTGTAAATTAACAGCACTATATAAGTACCTGAAATAAATAAATAAATAATGTAGCCAATCTTCCAAAATAACTTTCAAAAATATGAATTGATTAGGAACAATGAATGTACAAATGAATCTGAATATACGAAACAGATCCTGGAAAATAATCATTCTAA